TGCTTCTATTTGTTTGATGTAAGATTGTTATCAAGGGGAAGCAGTGCTGTTTTCCCCTATGTTTTGTACAAGACACCACCAGCATTCCATAGTCGTAGAAGAAAATGTGAGTGTTCAGCGACCAAATTTGAAATTAGTGACTTGTTCTTGTAGGCCGATTGACTAAGAATAATATGAGGGTATGAATATGAGTATGTGAATGGGTGGAAAGGCTGTTTTGTGAACTCGGTATTTCCTTACAAGAACGTCCTCGTAAGAAGCTACATGTACACTGAGCACTCAGTGCGAGCTCGGGCTACCTGTGTCATAACATTTGGATGACTCCAGGTCTTCTTTTTCCGTACACTAAATAAGTCATTTAACCCTAGGGTACCATTCTGGACAGTTGAAGGAGCTCGTATGATAAAATGTCTTTCCTTAATCGTTTTAAAAATTTGTCAAAATATGCTTCATCCACTTAAATCTTAGCCTCCCACGCAGACGTTCTTAGGGGTTCGTCACGCGTTCCTGTCCCACTAACGTCTGCTGAACCGAAGGATAAATTCCTTTCCCATTGTTCGCAAATGTCAACTGGAGATCACATGCAGATTATCGGAGATCCAATCGGCGCTGTTGAAGTCAAAGTGTTGACAAGCCAAACACATACGTACAAGCTCGGTAGAGTGTGATACGTGACCAAAGATTTTTGCTCCGGACTAAAATCTAGGAGATAAGAGTTGCTTTTTGTATATTTCTCTCTGTAAAGGCCGGATTAGTTGTCATTTGCTCATAACGTTGTTCTCTTGGTGATGCAACGGCGGGGTTACTTTGTAACTGAACAAAAGCCAGAATTTTTCCACAGTTTATTGTTTTGTGGTAAAGTTGACTTCCGTTCAGCAAATTTAACCTCCGAGGTAATTTTTTTCAACGAGATTGTGAGGGTAGCCTCTAGTACGAACGCTTGTGAGTTAACTGAGTAGTTTCTTCTAAAACTGTAAAGTCTTCACTTTTCATGAGACCTTTCTGGTCTTTTCTGAAGCTAAGTCAAGCGCGAAATTTCTGAGGGTCCAAAGTACACTTCCCAGATTTGGAAGTCTGCTGTGATTGGTCTACTTTTTTTTTTTTTTTTCTGCTCAAATCAGCAGACGTTCGTGGGGCAGGGACGCGTGACGAACCCCTAAGAACGTCTGCGGAGGAGGCTACTTAAATCCATGTTAAACACATTGTTATTTGTAGTCTTTAGTAGGAAAAAATTTTTAGTAAGAACAATTACAACACGGACTTTGTTAGACGGAACACTCACAGTAACACTGATCCCACTACTCAGACCAACTCTGGCCCTGTTACGACAGCGACTATACCGTACATCAGAGGCACCTCTGAATATTACAACCTTACAATATACGTGTTGCACACAAACCGATAACCACTTTACGGCGACTGCTTACTAATGTCAAAGACAAAGACAAAGCGGAGGATAGACAGGGAGCAGTATACAAGATCAAACGCTGCTACTGCCAGGCTTCTTACTTTGGTGAAACCGGCAGAAACCTAAGCACGCGACTGACAGAACACAATCGAGCGACGAGGAACGGTGACGTCAACAATCACAGACGAAACATCAAATTGACTGGGACTCTGCGTAATTTATAACGTATTCTACAGACTACTATCAACGTCTTACTTCAAAAGCTGGTTTACTAACTTAGAACAAACGCCACTGAATCGTACCCAACAGTTACCAGCACCGTGCAAACGACTTATTGACGAGATCAAGCAAAATTAACTACGAGAGAACGACTGGAGAACTGACAATTTGACTAAGAATAGACGACTGTTTAACTGTGACAAAAAACTGATCGAAACGCACCAATTACTGATTACGAGTCTTCGTAGCCAATAACATCACGGCTTAACTGACAGACGACCGATAACATCATGACGTAATTGACCAATCAGATCAGTAACCAGAGTATAATAACATCAACTGACGTCATACAACTCACTTTGACTCTGAAGATGACTACCGCGCACAGGTTGTCGAAACATCAGTCACTGTCAACAACAACAGTCCTATTCAGGACTACGTTCACCCGGACGATCAAACTCAACCTACTTTTGAAATGACTCCTGGGTTCAAACCTTTCACACATTATTTGTTTTGACAGTCTCTTTGGCGCAAGCAGCTGTTCCCGTCCTTAGCAATTCTACGGCCAAGAGAACGCTTTTTCAGCATATTTTTAATTAGTGAATGTCATTATTTATTGTCATAGCGACGTCTCCTTGCTTAGTTTTTGCTTTTTGTGCTACCGTCACATTTGTATAATCGTGTGTTGGCTATCGTTGGTGTGACACGTTTTTCGTAAAATTGTATGTGTTGCTTTTGTAGGGCGTGATTCTGATCTTCGTCGAGTGCTAAAGGAAGATGGACAGGAGATTTTAATGTTGGCGCTTTCATCTTTAGAAGTTGCAATCAATGGTGTTTTGGACAGTTCCATAGAATTTCAGTTATTAAAATTAGTTCTTGATCACTCTGACCGATTTTTGATACTTTCTGAGAAAATAAGCAAAAAGGGAAGAGAAAAATCAGTGTTAAAGAAGTCTTTAAATCAGCGCTACGTGGAATTAACTGCATTTGAGGAGGAAAGGCAGAAAGTCTCTTCTTTTATAAGGATGTGCGTACCCATTTGGCAAGGTAATGTTATACTTTTTAAAAATTTATAGTGTAGGCGGGCTCGTCTACTTCCATTGTGATCTCGAAGGGTGTGGTAGGCTTTCCTGGCCTTACAATGAATACACGTTATTAAAAGTAGTTCAGTCACGTCCTGATTGGCCACCTAATAAAATGGGTATAGGGTTAGGGTTGACACTAACCCTACCCTTAGCCTAATCCTAACTCTAACCCTAACTCTAAAACAGCATTCTCAAAAAAAGATAGACCTCGACCCCTGCCACGACCCCGCGTGTTGCTGACACCCGGGATTTTTTCGAAAAATTCAGAAATTGAGATCTTAAAACAAATAAAAAACTCAAGATTGCAGGCGTAATTTGTCACTCATGGTATCAATAGGTAAAGGCGAAGGAAATGACTAGAATTTGGAAAAAACGTAAATATTACCCTAATTTCACGAGTATAATATTTAATTACAGTTACTAATTTCGTCGTCTTTTCCCATAAAGATATTAAATAAGGGTTAAATTTGGGTGACGTCATCATATATCTATATCCGGTTGTGGCCCGGACAGGTTCTCAGATAGACATTACAGTTTCCACAATTTCCATCTTTAAACAACACCAGATTAAATTGCAAATTAAGTTATTTTCGTAAGCTGCTCAAACAACCAGTCTCACTCTCCCTTGGGACGGAAATGAAATGCCGCCACCAGACATTTCACATTGACGCTGTTTAACCTCCTCCACTTGGTATATTTTGAGCAATGCGATAGGCTCTAACGCTCGTGAAGTTTTGAAATGTGTTTTTGAGCTGTAGATAACCTGCAGGCCTTTGATGGGGAAGGGAGATTTCAGACGTGCGAGAACGCCAAGGGAGCGCGCCTTCCGTGCTCTAGCGCGTTCGAATTTCTGTTTCCGCTTAGCCTGTTCCAGGCTCCGAGATAGTCGGGCCCGCTGAATTGAGAAAGCGCGAACACGAAAATAAAACGGGAGGAAACTGGGGAGAGAAGGGGCGGCGGAGCCTGTAATCATTTCTTGAAATGACCTGTTCCGGTATACCAGCTCTTGGTATACCCTCTGATTGATCAGATTTGACAGATTATATCAACACTCTCAAAGCGGGTCGTTCCTGTCACTCAGAAAGATGGCATGCGGCGTCCACGCGCTTGAAATAGGGGAATCCACTATAACTTCTGTGTTAAACGAATGTTTACAAGATCTCCCGCAGATAGGAGCCCTGAGGAAGGAACAGAAGACCTGAAGTGAACTTGGCGCGCGGAAAAAATGTTTTTTGCAATCCTGCCGACCGGCTTCTGTCTTGCCTGATAACAAAGTTGCAAGAACAGAACAGTCGCAAGAAGGAGTTATCTACGAGCTCCAGTCCAGACTCACATTATCCAGGCATCTCTTTAGAAGAACAAGCAGGAGCAGAAAGCAATCTTGACTGACTAACAACGCAGTTCTTCATATCTAAAGTAGCTCCACTTGAAGCTGCCAATCCATTCTTCGAAATTTGGATCTGTGAATCACTAACCGTGAGAATTTAACATCCTACAAAAACACTAACGAGCTGGGCCCAGCGTGACAAAACTCATATTAGGAAAACGTCATATTCAAGGACAAAAGAAAATCGCTTTCAGTCATTCAGATCAAGGAGGCACTTTGGAGAAAATTAAAACAACCTGAAACCCTTATTTAGCCGCAGTAAAGAACTTTACACTTCAAAGGAGGTCAAAGAAAATGCTCTTTCATCAGAGGGAAAATCATCAATCATGCCGAGCTGACAAGAAACAATAACCGCAGAAAATCAACATGCGTGTCACGACCTCTCAGCATGAAACAAGCGGCAACATAGATTGCTCAGTCAAAAAGTAGACCCCTCCTGAGCATAATCTACCCGAAAGAGAAAATATTTATTGGAACAAGCAGCATTTTGGCACGAAGTAAAAGTCGTGTGTTGCCTACCGATCCGCTTTTTACACTCCAGATTGCGCACGCTCGCATAAGGGATTAGCGCCGCGCCAAATAATCTTGCGAGAAATTTGAGAAAGATTCCAACTCACTGACATTTCAACAGTTTGACAGCCAAAATCTTATTATCTCAAACGTGCCAAAAGTGGGCGGAAGAGGGTCGTAAAAGAAATGATAACAGGCTCTCTCTCCCTTCCTTTTTCCTTTTTTTTTCCCCGCCAACTTCTCGCGTGCCTTTTACTTTCGTTTCTTCCCCACTATCTGAGAGCCTGGAACAGGCTAGTTTTCGCTTCAAACGCTTGGCAAGCAGACAAAACGGGAGGCTATTTCTCAACATTTTTCTAGTAAAGCAGTGAAATTAGGTATCGTTTCGAACATGGTTTCTAAGTATGTCACAATTTTGTGTACCCTTGTTTCCACAGTTGACCTGCACGATCTGAGTAAAAATACAGACGAGGATGTCTCTCAGATGTCGATTAAAGAACTAGCACAGTCAACTAGTGTTAAAGGAAAATTGTTTCCGGAAGTGATATTCTTTAGACTTTCTCCGAAGGCAAAGCAGATGATTTCCGCTTTAGACAAGCTTGCCGACAGTATACTTTTACAGCAGTTTTTGAAAGAAAACAGTGAGAAAGCGCTAGAAATGACTGAAAAAAGAGAAGGCCACAAAATGTTTTTGCTGAGTGTTGATGAAGTTGAAGAGTTAGTGTGGGCGCCTTCACATGAACGGCTACAGTCACTACAAGAGCGTCTTTTAAGTAGCGACATTTCTTTTGAAGAGCTCGACAAGCTCTTTCAGGTGTTTAAGGATAGTCAAGACCTTGCCAAAGAGATGAGGCTGCTCATCTCAAAAAATGAGAGTCAAGTAAAGGCACATGAAGACAAAATAAAAAAGCGAATTGAGCAGATTGAACAGTACTACAAATTACGAAACCGCATTGACGCCGTTTGGATTATCCTAGAGTTCAAAGAACGTCTTAATCTTCACGGAGATTTTCAGTTGTTAGAAGACGTGCGTAACCAGGTTTGTCAATACGATAGGCTTAAATTGACAAGATTTACATCACATTGGGTCACTTGAGGTGCTCCATTATAACTTTCTTTACATGGAGCTGTCTTAATATTTCTAAAAAGGTGATTGTTAGGGTACCTAGCTTCTAGTCTCCAACACAGCCGATTTTAGTGTCGTCACGCAACGCTCTTCCCCACAAACGGCTGCTGAGAACCGAACCACATTCCTTTCCCTTTGTGTTTGTGGTCTAACGAACAAACCAATCATGAACAAGAAACTTGACAACACGTGAACCGCAGCGCGCTAGCAAGATAACACGCTTCTCAATTTTCGACATATGAATCAATCAATCGTTGCTGAGTTTGGATGGGCTCTGTGGCTGCAAGCAACGAAAAGGTTAATTTGCAAAAATGTTTCTTTAAGCGGTTAGCCAAGTTTCAAGTTAAAAAAGGTTTGATAGTCTTTTAAGAATCTTTCAGGATCGGTTGGTTCTTTTTAACGTGCATATGTATGTATGATGTATAATTTCATCTGTCGGATGTGCTCATTCGACTGTTGTACATAAGAAGGGTGGTGATTCAAACAAAAGTTAGCTTGTAAACTAGCGATGAGCGATTTCCCGAAACTATACCCGGCAACTTTATAAGCACATCCATGTTGTGTATCACAATTGCTCGACTTGCTTGCTGGTGCTGCTTATCTCATAAATTCTGAAAAGGACTCCACTACGACAACACTACTTTAGTTAATTGCTTGTTTTGATTGTTCTGTCATTCATGCATGGAGCACCGATAAAAGCAAAGCTGTGACTGGAAGAGTCACCGTGCCGCAAGCATAGTTCGGACACCTTCCAGAAAATGGGAGCTGAATTCTAATTGGCTAACCGCGTGAAAGGAATGTGGTTCGGTTCTCAGCAGCCGTTTGTGGGGAAGAGCGTTGCGCGACGAAACTAAAAACGGCTGTGTAGCAGACTAACCTTGTTTCTAGCCTGTTGTTATTTTACTCATTGTTATTTTATTCATGTTTAATCATGTTAGAGACAAAGGAAAACAAAATGCCCGACCAGAAAAGTTAAAACTAGCGCTATGCTTGATGCCCTCTTGCAGCTTGAAAACGTACAACCGCTATTGTAAGGTTATTTTGAACTTTCTCTTTTTACTTAAACAGATGACCAATGAATTCAAACAGCAATCACTTCAAAGCATGAATACTGCTCTACAAAAAGCAGGAAGAGTTCTGTCAAAAATAACTCCCAACCATGCAAGATGTCTAGATGCTGTCAACAGATGCCAAGATTTTATATCGTGGTTAAAGGAAAAAATTAAAGGTAGAAGAGTTGCGAAAAGAGTTATGCTTTTGCAGCAAGAATTTGTCTAACCAGTGAAAAGAGAAAGCAAAATCGACTAACTTTATGTGACAGTATTGAAGCGTTCTGGGCTTCCATTGATAGTTACTGTTTAAAAATCCCTAGAGTCTAACAAGCTGAGCAGTCTGCAAAGTTGTACAAAAGATTTCCTGGTAGGATCGCAAAGACTGTTAAAACACTGTCATGGGGACATACAAATTGCTGCAATTGGAGAGGAGTATAATGTACGATTTGCTTAATGATTAGCAGAATTTCGGAGGTTACAGAGTCGTGAATTTAGGTTTTTCTAGCCTATGCCGTTAAACATGGTATAAATAAGTCATACTGCCGTCTTTCTAAACACCATGCGGCTGCTAAACTAACATAGTCGTATTTTTATCTTAGGCCCTCAAGAACTCAAGGTCCTTGTGGATTTGGCCATCATCTCAGCTGGAGAGACAGACATGGAAACAGCAAGGATCACGTGTCTACATACAAGCTGCCTTGGCTTTGCTCCTCTCATCTTTGACTTGAAATCTTCTTGTGGATTTGATGAATTGATAAAAACATGTGAACCAGTCTGTAATGCAGTGGATGCAGATCCCAGTCTTCCTGCAAAACTGGTATGCCTTCTTGATGTTTGGCATGACGCTTTGATGTTTCGGTTTATAGTGTTTGCAAAATTTTAAACGTTATAAGAATCACTTGAAGGTTGGTTCAGTCAATACTGATGGTGCACTACAGTTTCCTGTTTAACCATGATATTGACAAAGTCCTGCAAGAAGTTAAGCGATGAGTGGACATAATGACTTCTCACAGTTATCTTTCTAAAATAAGTTAATAACACATGATTACAGGACGCATACGTTTGTGTCAAACTGCCAGGATTTACAACCTTTAATCAAGAAACTAAAACTCTTTGTTTGGAAAATAGAATTTCTGCTCCGAGGCTAAGTCATTAAGTAATCTGTTTAATGAGAGAATATAGATAATTAACGTTTCTTGTTTCCCTAGTGCCTTGTTAAAGCCATAGTTGACTATTTGAATTCCAAATGTCACATCTGATTTTACTTCATTTGCAGATAGACACAAGTCGTCAGTTAGAGTGGCTAAAAGGATTAGAAAAGTCTCATGGTTCAGTGGCAAAATCATTTCTATTGGAAGCTAAAGCCATCAATAAACATGGTGTTTACCGTGTTGGCTGCGTCAGTAAAGACGTCGAGAAATCTATAGAAACATTAACTCTCGATGCTGTGATCCAGCTGAAGTTACCCACGGATGAAAAGAGAATCACTCTTGACGACCTGAAAGATTTGCAAAGTAAGCTGATGCTCATTGCCCCCAAAGCTTCGCATGGTAAACAAGACGTGGATAGATTTGTTGAAGTAAGATTATTGTCTACATTTTAGGCAAACGGGCTGGGGTTTGTCCATATTAACATGCAAATATTATAAGTCTCTATATCTCTTTCAGTCCTCACTATGCCAGTGTTAGATGTCTTGGGGATCCCACCTTTTACTGACCGAAGTCTTTCTTGTTGTAAAGGCTAATATCATCGATTGCCTTAGTATCAAACTCTTGGGAACAGATATCCATATCCCTTTTTAAGCTTTTGCAAGACCCTTCAGGTTGGTTTTTTTTTGCTATCCGGATCTTTCCAAAGTACCAGTACCTTGTTGCCTAGCGTTAAGTCTTGTGTGTGAGTTTTTTTTTTTTCTTTTTTGCGACTATGAAATCATAAAAGTAATGAAATCAAAGCATACAGCTGCTGATTTTTTATAGCCTAGATATTTAACACTGTCTTTCGATTTTTTTTCAAAATTGATAGATTCTGCAATGCGTCCAGCGACTTGCTACAGTGTACATCGCACTTCGCAAAGCTGGAGAAGTCAGCCATCTCAAATGGAAATACGAATTTCAGTGTACACCTCGGCTTACTACCAGCCGCTCTCTAACAGATGATTTGGTAGAAAAAAGCGAGCAGATGGAGCATTGTCTTCAACAGTGGAAAGACGAGTTGCATGCCAAGCGTATGATGTATAGTGAATTGAATCACTTCACCACCCGGCAGTTGTTGGTCCTTCGAAGGCAGCTGGCTAAGGTTCAGCGAAGAGGTCCCAAGACTGTCAATAGCATTCCTCTTAAGGTTTATAACCTTTTAGAGAGTGTGTTGCCGGGCGTTGAGCCAGTCATTCTTAAGTCGGTGCTTATTTCGCAGTCGTCACACGAGGAGATGTTTCAAACGCTAGTGTCAAAATTGGAATCAATTGGTTACCCCGCAGAGGCCGAGCAGATTGCCATAGCAGCATTGAATTCATGTAAAGAGGCCAGCGAAACAGATCTTATTGTGTGGTGTGTGAAAAACGCCAGCAACAAAGATGTAATTGATAAAAGTTACTCAGAAGCTCTCCATGATCCCAGATATTTGGCGCTTATCGATAAAGACCTAGCCGCTCCTGCTGAAAAAGGAAGGTAAGCTATCTACGGGATGGTGAGTTCCATTTGTGCATATTTCGTAAGGTGGCCCGGGCCCTCAGAGAGTTATTGGACATTTTGAGCAAATCTTCAGGAAAGTGGAATAACCGCTACAGAATTGAAGACACGAAATAGCGAAATGACTACATCGTCTTTATCATGTCAACCAGAATAGGCAATTAATCTTTTTTTTCTCTGTCCAATGAAATGTTGTTTTCTCAAACTAATTGTCTTGTAACAGATTCCACTGAAGGCACTATACATGTTGTGCTTAATTTTCTAACCCCAAAATGTAGTTTTCTACTGAAATCAAACTTGACGCACAGTCAAACCAGGAAAACAATAAATGATACAGTGGCTATAGTTTATATTTTCCTGATCAGGTTTTAGCGTAAACTGAGTAACAAACAATCATTCATTGCTTTGCTTGTAACTGTTTTCTGCTTTTTAAGTCCTTCTGAGGACAGGATGATTGAGCCAGAGGAAGTTTCACAACTTATGAAAACTGCACTTAGTCTTGACCAGACCGCAGGCGGGGAGTTCC